TCCCACCCCGTGGGCCAGCAGGGGCCACCTGCGCCAACTCACACCTTCACTCTTCACTGTAACGAGCTGGTGTCTCCGCCACCCTGACTCACCTGCAGGGCACAGTCTCCAACTGTCGCCCTGAGTCACCTGCAGTCACAGTCTCCAGCCGTCACCCTGACTCACCTGCAGTCACAGTCCCCAGCCGTCACCCTGATTCACCTGCAGTCACAGTCCCCAACCGTCACCCTGACTCACCCACACACACAGTCCCCAGCCATCACCCTGACTTACCTGTAGTTGTTAGGACAGGACAGCCTTGGACTGGGCCAAGGACAGTAAAGATAGCAAAGTTTCCACCCAGGCCTCTACTATCTGCTTGTTCCAGCAGGAATGTACGGGCCCCTGAGCTATGAAACAGATGGCTGTCACGGGTCCAGGCTCAGCCCTTGGACCCGGATATTGCATGAAGTCTGGAGCAGGCACTTATGAAAATTGTGACCTTCAAATTGACTGTAACGGCCGACTTGGGCCTATATAAGTTGTAAGTGACCCCTGTACCTTGGGTCGGGGTCTGGCCTCTCCCACGGGACCTGGGTGTCGCTGTGTGAGTGTGCATGACCCTGGCTAGCCAGCTCAATAAACCGCCTGCTTGCTGATTGCATTCCTGTGTGGTCCTTGTCTGTGGTCAGAGATCCAGAGCTGTGCCCTAACACAGTCACAGTTCCCAGCCGTCACCCTGACTCACCTGCACTCAGAGTCTCCAGCCGTCACACTGACTCACCTGCACTCACAGTCTCCAGCTGTTACCCTGATTCACCTGCAGTCACAGTCTCCAGAAATCACTCTGACTCACCTGCACTCACAGTCCCCAGCCGTCACCCTGACTCACCTGCAGTCACAGTCTCCAGACATCACCCTGACTCACCTGCACTGCACCACCCTGTCAGGCCATGACCCTTCACCTGCACCAAATCACCTCCTGCCCAAGTCTCACACAGGATATTCTGCCATTCAAATCAAACTAAAAGCCCCAACAAAATACCCAGCCAGGGCTCCGGGAGGCTGCAGTGATCCTGACAAGCCAGACCACGCCTGGCCTCACCCAGGACGCTCAGGCCCCTGGGAAACCAACCGCTGCACGGCATGGGCTGAGGGGCCCCGGCTCCTGCCCAGCGAAGAGATTCCTCAGACTCCTCTCCAGGGCGCCTGAGCCCGCGGTGGCTGCAGTCCCCTTCCCTGAGCCCCACACACATCCCGGCCGTGTAGGAGGGCGAGGGCGGGTCCCTGTGCTCACTCATGGTCCCTGGGCTCCGTATCCTTAAGGATGAAAATACCGAGGAGTAAAGGCTCCTGAGCTCCTCGTCACGTCCTCACTGCCGCCAGGGCGAGCTCACGGCCACACTGCTCTGACGTCCTGCATGGACAATCACTCCCTCCACAGGGACCGCCCGTGGCCCTGTCACTGCAGTGTGGCAAATTTGAGATGGGAAGAACGGTCTGCACGGGACGCTGGAAGATGCCCCTGCACATGATGCAGCACGGACTCCCGCCGACGCACTCTGTCTGATGAGGATTTTCACCTGCTCCATCTCCAAACCAAGGTCTGCAAATGGTCTCCCACTGGGCCCAGCTCCTCTGGTCACTGCAGGCAGTTGGTGGGCAGGGCCACAGACACCCATGGCGCAGATGCCAGAGTGACCAAGTAAAAGGCTGCTGGATTCGGCTGGTGGCTGATGGTCAGCACAGAGCACAGGGCCCTGCTGGCACACGCTAGTCCAGACTGTACGGAAACATGCCAGGATTATAAACCCCAATAGCCAAAGCGATGGGAGGGAGCGACTGGCCGGGCTGCATCCCTCACTGTAAACGGTGGCGCAATGCGCTGTGATGAGAGCCACAGGCGCAGAGTGAGGCCTTGGACGCAGCCTCCCTGGATCCCAGGCAGCGTCCAGGATGCCTGTCCAGCACGGAGGAGTGGACCTGCACTGCCCTCACGGGGCACACAGAGTCCCAGCACGGCCCTCACGGGGCACACACAGTCCCAGCACTGCCCAGACTGGGTGGGCACAACCTCAGCACAGGCCCCCCGAGATCCCTGGAGGAATGGGCAGCGGGTCCAATACTGCCATGGCAGCCACTGCCCATTAGGTTCTATTTATGTGGGTTTGGGGCCACGCCCAGCCATGTACCGGGCTGACTCCTGGCTCAGTGCTCGGGGGTCACACCTGCAGTTTCAGGGGAGCCTCTCGGTGCGGGGGAAGGGGGGGTCGAAACCGGGCCAGCTCCATCAGGGCTAACCCCCTGCTGTCTGTCGCTCCAGCCTCTGTCCCTTTTGTTCCAGGGTGATAACGTCACCCTTTTCCTGCTGTGGGTCCCGTAAGATGGTCAGAACATGGCACGCCAGGAGCAAGTCTACTGGCAAGGGCTTTGTAAGTCACAGTGCTGTAAGAAAACTTACTCTGAAACTTGCATTTAAATAAAGCGACAAAATTCTACCGATGCAGAAGACCAAACCATTCAGAACTGAGCTTTCAGAGGTGACGTCAGGCCGTGTGGTACAGACGACGGACTCCAGACGGGAGAAATCGGGCTCCGGAGAGGCAGTTAAATCCTCAAATCTTGGAGTGATGAGGAAAAAGCAGAACCAATCGCCCCCGAGGCCAGAGAGGGAGCGACGGTTTTCAGCCCCCCCCACCCCCACTGCATGTGACCCCCAAAGAAAAAGTCAAAATGAAACGAAAGGAAGCGGAGGGACTCATGGAGCCTCGCCGAGGACGAACCCCGAGGCTCCAACGCCAGGCCCGGAGGCCCGCACTGGACAGAGGCAGGACAGGGTCCCGCACACGCCCCTCACAGGTTTCTGACAGGGCGCAGGTGATGCCGGGGAGAAGGGGAGTAGCCCGTTTCCTCTGGAACTGGTGATGCTGAAACCACTCAGGAGCCCTGTGGAAAAAATTAACTAGGAACCTCATGCGAGGTGATTCAAGATGATGGATCGTATCTCTGGTCGCGAAGGGCTGAACTTAGAAAGCTTTAAAAATAATTGATAGGAGAATATATCTGTGAAGTCCGAGTGGGCACGTATTTCTTAGAACAAAAAAAAAAAGCTGAACCCAAGTATGAGCTGTAATTCCCAAACCTAGAAACTTCTCATTAAGACACTTAGAAAAATAAAAACCCAAGTCTCCAACTGAGAAACTCATCACAACACATTGGGAAAATGACTTGCAACCAGAACCACAAATCAATAAAGCAAACACACACACACGCACACACCAATTAAGAGCGGAGAGGGGCCTCAGACACACACCATGCACTGCAGATGTTCAGGAAGGTAACGGGCGCGTCATCACGGCACACAGCATGTGCGTGTGCGCGCTCACACACACACTCACACAAACACACACACACACACACCGATTAAGAGCAGAGTGGGGCCTCAGACACACACCATGCACTGCAGATGCTCAGGAAGGTAACGGATGCATCATCACAGTACACAGCACATGCATGTGTGCACGCGCGCGCACACACACACACACACACACACACACACACACAGAGGAGACACTGAGGCAGGCCCAATGGCCCTGGGGCAGTCTGCAATGGATGCATGCACGGGGCACTTGGACAGCACAAGCCCTTGAGGTATGCTCTCAGGAAATGCCAAGTGTCCAGAGCAGGCATCCTCGGTGGCCACACGCTGGCCACAGCCGTCCCCACGGCACATCAGGACACTTACTGTGGCGCCAGGATGGAGCCAAGGCGCCCCAGGGCAGAGGACCAGCACTGGGCGCCCGGGCAGCAAGCGCTGGCCCAGGGGACAAGCAGCCTCCTGGAATGTGCCCGTCCCAGCCCGGTGGTCACAGCTGTCCACGGAGGCCACTTCCATCTCCGGGTTTTGAAAGCACGAACAGACCTTGTTAACGCAGCACGAAGACAGCATTTTCTCTATTTCCCTGACTTAAATGCTCCCGTTCAAATTCCCCGTACAGACCGAGGCCTGGCCCCTGAACCTGCCTGGGTCAACTCTGCAGACTGGGCTGGCCCGTGGAGGTAACACAGCCGTGGGGCAGTCGTGGGCATGCGGAGAGAGAAGACCACAGGGACGCCCCCTCCCGCAGATGCCGGGGGCGTGGGCAGGCCCGGGCATGCCAGGCCAGGAGGCCCCCTGGCAGCCACGGTCGGTTCTTCTCAGCTCCCGTCCTGACTCAGAGCAGGCCCGAGGCAGGCGCAGGCGGCCTGACCCCCCAGCGGGCATCGAACCCGCGTCTCGGCTGTAGTTTCCCTCCCCCAGTTCACATTAAAGGGTCTTTTAAGCCAAAAAAAAAAAAAAGTCAACACACAATTCCTGTGATTTATCGTGCACTGGAACATGGCAAAAGACACAATGACATTTTCCTTACAAATTATTTGGTGCCTGTGATTCTCCCCACAGCGGCCAGATGGTTCTCATAGAGAAGAATATTCACAGAGTTCAAAGGGTTGCTGATTTTTTGGTCTTAAAACAGACTATTGATTGTAACGTGCAGCTCCGCAGGAAAAATCTCCACGGCGGAGGGGAAAACTGATATTTATTACGGCTCTCGGGCTCAGGATGGCCCTTCCCTGACAGGGGTCCGCTCCAATCAATTTTTATGTTTCTTATGTATTTTCTTAATCTAATGTTCTTGGCACTGTGTTTATTAGCCGCTTAAGACAAACACACAGGCGCCGAGTGGGTGGGAGTTTTCTCCTTGTCAGAAGTAACGAGAACTGTAATTTCAATACAACTGCCGCAGTCGATGGACACGAGGGTGAAGCGTTCCCCTCAGAGCCGCCGGGAGCTGGGCGGGGGGAGACTGCAGGCCAGGAGGGGACGGCGCCCACGGGGGACACAGTGATGGGGGGGTGCCCGGTCTGTTTGGGAGTCGCAGCCAGGTGAGGAGGCGGCTCGCCTCGGACGCAGGGAGAGTGCTGGGCTGCGGGGCTGAGGGCCCTGCAGGACGCCCAGACACCGGGTGTCGCCGGCTACTCACCCGCTTCCCGGGCGGCCCTGGCGCGGCAGCTGGATCTCGTGCACGCCCTGCTCGCAGCCCGAGAGCTGGATGGGACCCAGCGGACTGTCCACCGTCAGGAAGCTCAGGGTGCAGCTCCTGTCCATCGGGTACCTAGAGGGAGAGGGAGCGTGTCAGTGCCCGGTGTGACCTCATCCCGCCGTGCTGGGGTCACCTGGTTCCCACAGCGCCCACCGCACGGCTGTCTGCACACGCCCTGACCCTGCACCGTCTCTGGTTTCAAATCGGGGGCACTCGTGACCAGGGCTTGGTCACTCTGAAAGCCCAGCGCCAACGGTGGCTCTTGAAAGCGGGTGCGTCTCGGGGCTGCCGGGTCTGGAGTTTAACCACCCAGGACGTGCCTTGCTATGACAGCCACCTGCTTCCCGCAGAACCAGCCAGCGCTGGCCCCTCCCTGAGGAAGGGTCCCCGGGAGAAAGGGGCCCACGGCCACGTCTGCCAGGCCGAACAGGACCCTGCCTGCCAGGAGTGTCCTCCCCCAAGCACAGAGCACGGCTGGGACGGGAGAGAGCCGAGAAGCTGCCGGGTATAGGTGTGGCCACATGGAGGCCTCCCCTCCTGTGCGTGCAGCAGCCAGCTCCTCCCTGGGCTCTGCGTCCCCACGGCCGGCAGGGCCTGTGCTGCACGACCAGCTTGCCTGCGGCCCTGTGGCCTCTGCCCCAGGCCCGGCTCTAACACACAGGGGTCAGTGACTGGAAGCGGGACAGCCTGAGCCGGCATCCCTCCAGGGCCTCCATTCACTCCTTGTTCACTGCACCAGGCATGTCGCCGTTCCCAATGTCCACTGTCTGCCGAGAACCCACCCCTGCTTCGGAGACCGACACAGCCAGCCCCGGACTGCCACAGCAGGGCCCAGACCACCCACCTGGACCATCCACCTGGAGCACGTGCCCAGACCACCCTCCCAAACCACCCGCCTGGAGCACTCATCAGGGCCCAGCTCGCGCCCGGGCTGCCGCGGGAGCCCAGGCAGTCAGTGGCCTGTGCAAATGGACGAGACTGCGGGAAGGGAGGCCTGGCCATCCCGCCAGCACAGTCGACCCATTCACCGCGCCCACCACAGCCAGGAGGCCATGGGCGCTGGGCCTGTGCATGTGAGGCCCAGGGTCAGCTACCTCCCATCTGCCAGCCGGGCCCTGGGGCACCAAAGGGGCTCTGATGACCAGCCACGGCCGTGTCCCCTGCGTGTGCCACTGTGCAGAGCTGGCGGATGCCAGAGCCCCAGGCCTGCCCAGGCACCCACCGAGTACCCCATGAGGGGCGTGGGCTGACAGGAGTGGGTGGGAGAGAAGCTTCTTCATGCCTGTTTGGGGCCTCTGGAAACAGGAAGTTGGTCTTGTTTCATCTCCCTTCACCGTGAACGGCGCTTCCAGAACCATGTTCTGAATTAAGCGGCCGGCGCCAGAGGCGGGTTCCCGCTGCCTTAAAAGCCGAGAGCCCGGAGGCAGCGCCGTCTCTCCGTGGCTCTCCGGGCCCTCTGCTACATCTGAGCACTGTCCTTCCAGAACCATCTGCACGGTGCTGGGCCTCTCTGCGGTGACCGCTCCCGGGACAGCACCCAGATAAGGTCTGAAGGCCGGTGGGGGACCACAGCCCCACTGTCGCGGTGAGGGGAAGCCGAGCAGGGTCTGCAGCCCCCAGGCATCCACTGGGTGGCCAGCTGGCCTGCCCCAAGCACAAACTGAGAATGGACGGCCTGGGCCTGGCTCAGGCCACCCCCAGCAACCCCTGGGAAACCAAAGGCCTCAGTCTCCCGCTGACCAGATGGACGGGCAGGTCCGGGACAGCAGCCGTGTCCTTGGGACTCCAATCAGCCAAGGGCAGGGCACCGGGGACAGTCTACCCGGAAAAGGCATCAGAAGCATCGGGGACGGCAGGTGTGCCTACCCGTCGCCCCCAGAAGGGGACATCCTGCCAGGGGTAGACGTCAAGGAGGAAAAGGCTGATCGCGGTCACTGGCTAAATCCCCATGATGTCCACTATGGTTTCCGTCCCTGCAGTGGAGATTTTCAGACCACAGCTGGCCAGACGTCAGCGCAGCGGGTAGGGCATCTGCCTTGCATGCGGCTGACCCAGGTTCGATTCCTCCACCCCTCTCGGAGAGCCCGGCAAGCTACCGAGAGTATCCCACCCGCAAGGCAGAGCCTGGCAAGCCACCCGTGACGTATTCGATATGCCAAACACAATAACAAGGGTCACAATGGAGACGTTACTGGGCCCGCTCGAGCAAGCCGATGAACAACGGGAGGACAGTACTACAGTGGAGTTCTCCAGACCACAGTCGGCCAAACGTCAGCCACAAGCATCAAGTTGCTGAACTGGTTTTACCCACCTAGATCCTGGCACTGCCACTGGGCCTGGGGAGCTTCTAAGGGGCACGAGGTGAGGCCACGGCTGCAGGCCACAGGAAGCCCGTTCCACAGGGCAGCAGCTCTGCTCACGACAGCCAGAGGCCACAGGCAGCCCAGAGGCCCCTCGGGGGAGACGGCGCAGTGACCGCCAGGCTCCACCCTCTGCTCACACCTGCTCTCCACCACCTGCCACGAACAGCCAGACATGCGGGTTCCCAGACCCCCTTTATCTTCAGCACCACCTCCACACGCTCGCAGTGACTGAACTTTCTGGAACTTTTGGTACTGCCCCGGAAAGGGCGACACATCAGTGTCCACCGTTGGCGCCGAGCCCGGGGCCCGAGGCCTTCAGCAGGATGGGCGGCCTGGCACGCAGACATGCTGAGCACGAGCCCGGATAGCATGAGGGTCTCACAGGACAGACGCAGCCAACAAGGCCGAGCTGCCCCCCATGGGCAGAAACCCTAAGGTTTTAGGTTGGTTCCAGTGAGTCCCTCTGGGACCGGATCATCTGAACACAAGATTCTGGACCTTTCACTCTTGCAATAATATTTCAGCCCAGTCCAGAAGCCAAAGCCAAGAGTTCCAGACCAAAAAGTCCCTTCCCCTTGATGAGACACGAACAGGCGCAGGAGGAAACGACCCTCACGTCCCCCTAAATCCTTCATGAGTCCCAGTCACGACACTGCACACTGACCGCCTGGTCCAGGCCAGCCCGGAGGACAGCACCGCTGTTCTAGGATGCTACAGCCCCAGGTGGGATGGAGCCAGACCGGGCGCAGCAGGAGCCCGTGCGGCAGCCGGGAGGTTGGGGACGCGGGGTGACCCACTCTCCCGAGAAGGGGCGCGGCCTCTGCTCCAGGGCGCCTCTGGGTTGTCAGGGTCTCAGGGAGCAGGGGGCAGGCGAAGGCGCCCCCACCCCGATGACCCTCCCTGCAGAGCAGGTCAGTCTCGGGCACGCATGGGACACGTCACCCTCTGGACTCAGAACACGTCCTCAAAGCTCCATCCAGTTAGCAGCAAACAGCATGAAAATCTGCTAGCGGGGGGAGAGAGAGACGGGCATAGCGCAGGGGGGCCGCTGGGAGCCAGGGCTGGGCCGAGGGGCTGGCGGGGGGTGCACTGTCCACTCCCCGGGACCCTGCTGGGACCCTGGGAGCAGGTGACAGGCCGCCCCCGAATGGCAGCTGAGAGAAGACCCTGGGCACCGCGGGGAGGGGTCACGGGGAGGGCCTGCTGTCCCCATGGGGGGGGGCCGGAGCCAGGGACCCGGAGCACGTGTGAGCACAGAAGGGCCCTCTCCCTCGCTGGGCAGGGACAGACGTGACTTGGGACATGCAGGGCTCTGCGCATAGGAAGCACATCTGTGCATCTGATAACACCCGGCCTGCAGGGCAGAAGGACAGCTGAGGCTCTGCATGTGGGCACCTGTTCATGCGTGTGATCATACCATGCACATGTGTGGAGTACGCATACTATGGACATGTGAGTGTGCACATGTGTGAAGTGATCATACCATGCACACGTGAGTGGGCATGCACATGTGTGTGGAGTGACCACACCATATACATATGTGTGAGTGTACACAGGTGTGTGCAGTGACCATACCGTGTACATATGTATGCACATGTGTGTGGAGAGATCACACCATATACATGTGTGTGATCGTGCACAAGTGTGTGCAGTGACCATACTGTGTACATGTTTGTGAGCATGCACATGTGTGTGCAGAGTGATCATATCATATACATGTGAGAACACCCATGTGTGGAGTGATCATACCATGTACAAGTGTGTGCACATGTGTGTGGAGTGATTATGCTGTGTGCACAGTGGTTATTAGTGTGCACATATGTGTAGAATGATCATGTACATGTGTGTGAGCATTCACATGTATGTTTGGAGTGATTATACTGTGCACATTTGTGTAAGCGTATGCATTTGTGTTGTGTGAGCATGAGTGTGTGCAGGTGAATGTGCATGTGTGTGCAAAGTGAACATGAGTGTGCACATGTGTCTGCGTGTGTGTACAAAATAAGCACGTGTGTATGATGGAGCACAAGAACCTGTATGTGTACAGTGTGTGTGGAGTGAGTGTGAGTTTGCACGTGTGTGAATAGCTGCGTGAGTACAGTGAACATGTGTGACTGAGCATGTGGTACATGTGATGTGCGACTGTGGGTGCACGCATGTGGATGTATGCACACAAACACATGCACATGAATATGTGGGCATGAGTGAATATACACATGCACACGTATGTACACAACTGTGTGTGAGTACATGCATTGTATGAGCACGCACATATACAGCTATGTATGTGCATGAGTGCATGCATGTGTAAGAGTGTGCACATACACACATATGCACACCAGTGTTTGAGTGCATGAATGTGTATGTGTGTGTACACATATACATGATGGACAAGTGCGTGTGAGTGCATGCACACAGCCTTCCGTCCAGTGGATCTAACTCTGCAGGGGTTTCGATCCTGGTGGAGATCAGGCGCGGGGTAGCCCAGCGGCCAGAGACAGAGGAGCCTCCGGAGCCCAGGGCAGCCTACACGGGGACGGAGCCTTTTGGGAGTTCAGACACGCAGCAGAAAACCCTGACGCGGGCATGAGGCTTTCTAGACCCCCACGTCCCTGCAGTCATAGCCCTTGGGCTAGCAGGGCCCCACAGCCTACGGCCATGCTGAGTCCACTCCTGGGGGCCGGAGGGAGAGAGGCCAGGGCCGTCACCGGACAGGTCTGTGTGGGGCATCCCACAGGAGGCACGTGCCAATGGGAAGCCGGTCCTGCCCACTGTGCTGCAGCGTTCGGGTACTGGGCACCTGACGACCGCCCAGCTGCTATGGGTTGGCACACACACGTGGGCCCTCAGCGTGCAGAGATGCCCATTTCCAACACGTGGCCACCCCCGTTTTCACTCCTCTTCGGCTCTAAGGTTATCAGTGGCCCCGTGAAAGCAAAGCAAAGCCGGCTGAGTTTCCCAATGGAAGAACAGGTCCAAAGGTCTTCATTCCTCTCATGCAGAGGGAAGCGCGGCTCAGGGCACAGCCTCCCCTGCACTCTGTGACACAACCCACCCCACCCCCCAAGGGCTGAGCACTGCGGCCCTGAGCTCCCTGGGCGAGAGGAGGTCTCGGAGGCCGCCGTGCCCTGTCACGAGGAGGCCACGGGCAGCAGCCTTGCCACATGGCTCGGGCACTCTCTGAAGGCAGCGCCAGGGACAGGCTGCTCCTCACATAGCCAAGAGCTGGGCGGGGGCGGCACTAGCCTTGGGGCAGCTCTGCCCGTGGGCATGTGAACACAAGTCCATTCTCTGACATCCCGTGAACAAACCTGCTAACTGATGGCCATGGGGAGGAGAGGGACCGGAATAAAGTCCCTGGGGGGCTTCGCCCCATCCCAGCACACGGCGGCACCTTTCTCGGCAGCAGTATAGCCCAGACACTCCCTGGGGAAGTCACAGAATGTGCTGCCACGGCCCGCTTTCAGCCGAGACCCCAGCCCAGGACACCCGGGCTGACCTGAACGTCCTGCTGGTGCCTGAGGTCAACAGGGCTTGCCCGGGGGTCCCTTGGCTGAGCTCAGACCCCACATAGAAGCCAGCAGCTGCCCTGTGCTGCTCGGGTGAGGCCCCCATGGTCGGAGCGGGCGAGGGAGGAGACCCACCAGCACAGGCCCTGCAGCCCCTCCTGGTGCCCTGACCTGACACAGGACCTGGGGCAGGGTCTCGCGTGGCCCCAAGAACCGTCTCCCCAGGGACCAAGGGGCTCTTGGGGTGACCTGGTGTCCAGGAAGAAGGACACCTGAGCCAGAGTGCGGCCCGCACACGCAGCAGCCGGCAGTCACATCCCAGGCGGGGACGAAAGGCCACAGACTCTGGCCCTGGGCTGTCCCTGATTCCGGCCAGCCACACGGGAGCAGCCGGGGCAAGTCTGACTCTCTCCTCAGACGTGCCAGCCTGTGGGACACCAGGGAGGTGACGGCCCAGGAGCTTCCGTGCTGGCCCCCCTCACTCTCCCAGGTGCAACAGCAAGACCCACAGCTGGCCCCACCAGGACAGGACAAGCCCAGGTCTGGGAAGAACAAGGCGCGTGTTCATCCAGGGGTGCTGAGCGACTTAAGTGAACACTTCAAGTTTAATATGGAAAAATCTGTTTTGCTCACATTATTTTATTTGAGACACTTGGTATGAAATCTGCGCTTATGCAGAGAATATGTTTCAATAAAGACAAGGACTGGTTCGTAACCGATTTATACACACATGGTACAACTAAGCACTTTGCAGATGCGTCTCCTTAGAACCTGGGATGCTCAGAACCACTGTGAGCCAGACCCAATCGATACTCAAACAGAATCACTCCTCTCCTGTCCTCCCCACACCAGGAAACCCTCTCCAGGACACTCAGCTCAAAAGCTAACAGCATGAGCTTGGGAGAACAAAACGGCCACATTTAACTGGGACCTTTTATCTCAATTACAAGTAGAAAGAGCTCTTGGAACAGGCACAGACGGCATCTCACGGACCCCCCCCAAGCTCGTTACAAAGGTAGCTTAAGTGGAAAGAAGAATCCAGAGTGTCGGAGAAGAAAGAAGCTCTGATAATCAGCTCCTTTTTCAAACTGCAAGAACGGAACCAATTAGTGAGCTCTGTCCTACAAACCCACCCGCAGCCTCTGGGTCGGGCAGCTGGACAGGGCAGGAGGCCAGGCAGCTGGACAAAGGTCGGGCCCGGAGGCAGGGAAGAGCAGCTCGAGGTGGCAAGAAGTGTGAAATGGAGCCGGGTGTCCCGTCCCTCTGACAACATCCTCAGCAAGGGTCGGACACTTGCTCCACGCCATCCTTGCAAAGGGCCGGGGAGCGTCGGGAATGGCTTCGGAGCGCAGCGTATGGGACGAGTCACCCAGTCTGTGTGCCACACCACAGGCGACCCCGACACACTGGCCCGTGAACCACTCAGGGTCTCCGGGGCCCGTCCATGGTGCAGCTGCCCCCCCCCCCCCGAAGGGCAGTGTCCGCCAGCCTACAGCCAGAATGCAGAGAAGGGCCCACACACACCCCTCACTGAGGTGTAGAGGCTTCACTGTGGCCAGGCTGCTCTTCGCACGGATGCCAAAGGTTTCTTTCCTGCCCTCACCCTCAGGTATCTGCCCGGGGGGCACATTGTGTCCTCAGCAGGTCTCTCTCCCATTCTCACAGGGGCCACCAAACTGCCTCCACCACCGCCATCCCGCTGGACAACAACTGGGCACAGGGGAAGCATCCCCTGCCTGCTCCCAGCACGGGCTGCAGCAGCTGCAGACTGGCCGTGCTCGGCAGAAGCCAGAGGCCCAGATGCAGGTTTGGGGGGAGGGTGCATCACTCACCCCATCTGTCCAGAGCACAGCCCACCCGCCAGGACATAATGCCCCCCCCGAGCCTGGGGCACCTGTGTCCTCAGCCCCTCAGCCCCCCAACTCCGGATGTTCCACAAACACCCATTTCTGACAACACACGAACTACCCAATAAACATTCTCCTGGCTCGTCTGCAGTACCGAATATCAGAATCTTTCCGACGCTCTGATCTGATGCTCTGATCTCCCCTGGCCCCCCTAGCACCTTGGGGTGCCTCTCTGGCCTCTGGGGGCATCTGTGGAGCCCATGAGCACAGGTGTTGCACCTGGGGAGGGGTCAGCGACCGGGTTGGCAGCTGCTGCCTCTTAGTCTCCACCTCTGGGGGGGAGAGGTCTCAATGGCTCGAACTCTCCTCCCAGCTCGAGATGCAGTTCCACACGCTCGGCCCCTCCCTGACGCCTGGTTCTGCCACCTCGTGGGTCGGACCCACTCTGCTGACACCTGGTTCTGTTATCTTATGGGCTGGACCTGCTCCCTGACACCTGGTTCTGCCGTTTCGCGGGCCGACCGGCTCTCTGCTCTTCTCCCTCTGCGGTCAGGCAGCGGCACCTTTTCACGGGCAGCTGGAAGGCGGGAGGCATCCTGGAGACTGAAAGTAGACCTTCTTTCCCACTGTAGGATGGTCTGTGCTTGTTTCCAGGGAGCACGCAGGTCTCAGATCCCGTCTACAGGAAAGAGCCCAAGAAAGGCTGAACAGACGAGAGCTGGAGAGATAACCCGGCGGAGAAGCAGCCTGGACTCGGCTGCCCACGTGGGAGCTGGACATCACTGCGCCTAGCCAAGGAGCCGGACTCTCTGCGACAACGTGGAACTGCACTGAGCACCTGGGACGACGATCAAATACTTCCTACCTTCTTTCCAACAACACGTGAGAACAAAGAAATATTAATGAACCAAGCAGACAGAGAGGGAGGCGGCAGGAAGGGTCCAGAGATGCGTCCTCCAGCCTGGTCCCGGGCAGGGACCCCTGGGTACTGTCCCCACAGGGGCTGTGCTCAGGGAACGTAACCAAACTCAAGCCACCAGGAGAGGAAACTCCATCCTGAGCTTAGAGTAGTCCTATCCCAGACACTCCTGGAGAGCAACGATTAACACCAGGAAGACAGAACCTCGACCTGACAGAAGGGGCTGCCTGGCTGTGGGCCCTGCTGGATGTGGGCCTGGCCCCTGGGAGCCCCAGGCAGTCCCCATGGCCAGGGCCCACAATGGATCCGACCCCTTCTCACTCCCCTGACTCAGGACAGCTGCCCGAGAGGTCAGCACCCATCTGTGTCTGAGCCTGTGCAGGCTGGCCGGATGCCAGCTGGTCAGGTTTGCCAAGCTGATGGCACAGTTCTCAGGGGGTGGCTGGCCCGACCACTCCCTGCCACCCAGACTGGACTTTTTCTTCCCAGAAGAGACTGCCGGGCAGCCACAGACCCCCACACCTAGTGTCCCAGTCAGCCAGGGGCAGCCTGCAGACACGCTGTCCTGGCTGCAGGTGGCCATGGTCAAGCTGGCCCCGTGTCCCTGAGCTGCTCCGGTGAGCAACAGTGGGGCCAGGAGCCCTACGAGGAGGGGCCGGAAAAGGAGCAGAGGGGCCGGTGCCACTAGGCCCCAATCCACGAGGCCCTGCTGGGGGCCAGGAGGGCAGGAAAGGATGGTGGGCCGGAGACCGCGAACAGAGGCCGGCCTGAGAGCGCGAGCCTGCTCACGGCCACTCACCAGTGGACAGTGGCCTGGCCAGAGGCACAGTCAGCGGGGGGCACGGGGTATGTCCCCCAACCCAACACAGAGCGCAAGAGAACAGCATAGCCATGCCAGCCCACAGCAGACGCAGTCCCAACCTGCCCTCCCTGGGCAGGGATGGCTCTAGGGCTGGTGACTCAGGACCACGGTGCTCCACTGGACAAGCTCAACTCCGCGGCGCTGGGCCCCCCACCCCAGCAGCTGTCACCACACCCAAGGAAGCCCCTCAGCGAGCCGGAGCGCTGCTCCCCTCTGTGGGTCTCCGTCCCCCGGTATCTGAGGAGTGACGCTTCTGCATGGACACACGCACGTGCGGCTTCTTTTCTCTCTTGCCCAAGTCGGCCACGTGAACCTGTAAACTAACAGGGAATCTAAGAATTTTAGAATTCGCTTCTACACTTTCCGTGTGTTTTCTATTCCCTTGGAGAAACCCCACTTTGGAAACAAAAGAGGGGGCTGGGCTGCTGCGGGCTGGACTGCTGGCGCAGGTGATGGGGGCTGCGAGCCCAGCGGGCAGGGGCCCGGGGCCCCCCAAACTCACCCCAGCCGCACAGGCGAAGCAGACGTGACGGACTCTGACAGCCTCAGTCGAAATCTGTCACCTCGGCGGGGCCCGTGCGGGGACAAGGCCACGGCATTCGTGCTCCCCGAGTCTGCGAGGTCCCCGGGGTGAGGGGGGGGGCTGCCGAGCGGGTGGGCACAGCCAGGATATTACCTGCAAAGTGCATTAGAGGCGCCAATTACAAGAATCACTTCAACTTAATTTCAAAAGCACAATCAGCCCAACAGAAACAGTCTCTGTTTTTAAATTTCGAGGAGTATTACATTAAGGCAATAACTCACCTCCCAGCTATAATATTGCAACACCACATTTCATAAATACTTCTCATCGACAAGTCGAGCTAATTCAGGTTAATTTTATTGTATTTTGGTGCTATCTCACATTTGTGTGCAATTACCTTTATCATTTTATTGCCAAGGCAGAAAGCAATCAGAACAATTATTTGAAAAAGGGGGTTTATAAATTCTAAATCACAGTCGCTGGCATTTTTGATAAAACAGCAGCTTTATCTCGGGCACCGGCAGGGACACGGGATAAATCATGCATCAGTCAAGTGCAGCTGACCCCCAAGTGCATTGCACAATATCAGGAGGGCTTCCAAAGAAACTTCCCGCCGTCATCCATCATCCTTCATAATACTAAAATAGCTACACACCTGGAGAACAGAAGCTGGAGGATAATAAAAAAAAATAAAATAAATAAAAGCCAGGCAGCCCGGGAGAAGCACCCAGGAACGGCTGTCCCCTCTGCGGGGGAGCCCCGGTCCACGCGCAGACACATCGTGACTTTACAGCGACTCTAAACCTCCATGTCCATGTTCAGCGGGGCCCGAGGCGCCCATGGAAGACAGAGAGAGTGCCGTCGGAGGAGGGGAAGCGCATTTCGGGATGGCCAGCAACTTTCCTCACGGGTCTGGCCACGTTCAGGACCTGCTTCCCTACCGGGACACGCACCAGGCAGTGACCAGCGGGCCCTCACGGCGGCTCTCAGGGCCTCGTTTTCTCCAGATGGAGCCTGCTTGAGAAAGAACTCAACTTGCCTCAGAAGACAGGAATAAGGGGAGGACCCTGAGCCCCACCCGGGCTCCCCTCATCAGCCAAGGGTGCTGGGACGCCCCGCCCGGCCAGGGGGCAGAGAGCACCGCAGAGTCACCCACACTGCAGGCAGACTTGGTGCTCATCTACTCGACGGCCAGTCAAGCGGCCAGTCCCCCCATCCCGGCCGCTCCAGCCCCCTGGCCCCGGGGTCATGGGGAATCTGGCTGCAGGGGAGGGTCACACCTCAGCCGTGCCAGCCCCGACCATCTGCAGACGGGGAGGCGAAGCCCGAAGCCAAGGGCACGCACTGAGAGCAACGGCTGTCTGGGTTCATCCAGCACGCCCAGAGTTCCACCTCTGCCCGGTGGGCGCTGTCTCCAACACAGACAAGCGACGGTGCTGGGCAGAGCAGGGCCCACCGTGCCGCTGGACCCAAGTGCTCTCATCCTAACTGCACAGTCCAACACTCCGGCAATTCCCACCATCCCGACTGGCTCGATTCTAACTGCGATGACAAGCTTGCACTTCCCCCAGCTGCATGCAGGATCCTGAGCCACCAGCAAACCAGACTCTGTCAGGGCCACATCCCCGGGGGCTGGAGAGATGGGGCAGGCGGCCCCTGACCACCCGTCACAGGGTTCCCCGAGTGGCACAAGTCACACAGCCTCAGGCCCTTACACTCAGTTTCAGGCAGAGAGCCCTGGGTCTCATGAGCACTGTTCGGGGGAGGTCCTCCAAATAAACCCACGCTCTCTGACACACCAGTCAGCAGTGAGACTCTCCCTCCTGGTGTGCTGGCGTCACACGAACGCTGACATGAGTCCTGAGACCCAGGAAGGGGCTTCCTCTCAATCCGCCAGCGACAGCTCCCCAGCCCCGGGGCCAGCAGAGAAGCGTCAAGGAAACACACGGAGGCAGAAGGGACCGACCAACGTCAGCAGGAACCCAAGAACAGGGCAGATTCCCGAGTGAGTGGAGCAAGGCCTGGGCTTCCGGGCCACGACAAGCAGGAGGGGACCCCCGCCCCCAGCAGCTAGCGCTCAGGTGTCAGAGCTGCCCGCCCCTCTGGAAGCAAGACAGCTCCGGGCCCCGGCACACACGAACACGGGGCTGATGTGACGGCGGGTCCCGGGCAGAGGACGGGAGCAACACCAGGTCAGGGAGGGGCAGGCAGGCACGCGTAGGCCAAGGCGGTTGCCGGGCGCCCTGGAGTAACGGTGGGATCCAGGAGCAGCCAGGAAGGGCCTGCTCGCTGCGCCCTCCCCCTGCTCCAGGACAGCCCCCCGGGACCCGCCCGCGGGTGCGGCACGGCTGCCCAGGGCTGGCAGGTGCACCGGCCTGCAGGGACGCGCCCGCCGAGGCGGGAATCACGGCAGCCGAGGAGATCACAAATGAAGATTGATGCCCGCTGCCCGGCAGCTCCCCTGCACCTCATAAATCTAAGCGCCGCGCTTCCTCCTGCCGCTCACCAGACGCCGGCACGAAGGCCTCTCCACAGACGCGGCCCCACCGGCCTCTGGCGCCCAGGAACAGGGACCCCACAGGGCCACCGAGGAAACCGTCAGGACCACACGGGAAGGGGCGGCCGAGGCGGCGCCAGAGACACGTCGTGAGCCAGCAGTGGGCTGCACCACCCGAACTGCACCCGTGGACAGGGCGGGTCCCAGGAGGCCTGGGTGCCACGGCCTGGCCTTTCCAGGAGAGAGCAACAAGCAGAAGGGTGGTGGGAGACGGCCCCAGGGGCCCCTTGGTGCTTTCTGGAAGAAAACCCGGGCCAGGAGCGCAGGAGGCCAGTCCAGACGTCCGGGTTGTGAAGATGGGACGGACCCCGAGCCACGGGTCAGACTCGGTGAAGTGGACTGCCTCCTCCCTGGACGGACCCTGGACGTACAGGGGCCAACCACTCAACACTCTGGACCCCAACACAGGAACAGGGCAGATGCCTGAGGTGGGTGCCACCAGCTCTTGGGGGCAGGGGGAGCGACAGCAAGCACATCTGCGCCAGCCGAGTTGTTGGGGAAGGTTCTGGGGACACTGGCACACCAAGCAGACATGGGCTCTATCTGCAGGAATGAGCACTGAATCCGGAGCAGACACGGGCTCTATCTGCAGGAATGAGCACTGCATCCCTATGAAGTCCTGACTGCCATTTTCAGTCCAAGAAGCAGCTCTGCTGAGAATGGGGCAGCGTCTGGGAGACAGAGAAGAGGTGCCCACAGGCCTGGTCCCACAGCTGTCTGATGGGGCACATGTCACGCCGTCACCTCCCCGCAGCGATGCCAACCCAGGGAGGTGACAGCTCAGGAAAGGATCCAGAACGCGGGAGTGGGTCTGAGCAAAAGAAAAGAGAACGTGTGTTTCCCTATCCCCCACCCCCCCCCCACCCCCCCCCCCGCAAGCCACAGGAATCTCAGGTTCAGGGGTCAGCCTCATCAGAAATGAGCCACGGTCACAAGGGAGGTGGGGGGTCCATCTCACAGGCCTGGGAGCTGGTCCCGGGGGCCGCCTCACCCCCACGCTCCTCTGGAAGAGTGACCCCAACACCCCTTCCCGGGACTCTCTATAAGCCTCCCTACAGCCGTGCCCACTGTCATGAAGCTGCCTTCCTCTGATGCGTTGGAACCACGTGTGAAGCCAGCGCCTGGCTGACGGTCATCCCGCCTGGCCCCGGAGGAAGCGGACACTGGCGAGGACCTACGTCACCTGTGCCTCGAGCCAGAGGCCAGCCTGGACCCAAAGCCCAGACACGCAGCCTGACCCGCAGCCTGGACATGCAGCCCGGATGCATCCTGGACACGCAGACTGGACACGCAGGCCGGACACGCAGCCCAGCCACGCAGCCGTCACTCAGAACAGAAGCTCACAGTGGTTCCCATTGCTGGGGCCGGAACAATAAGTGGGTAGGCGCTGGCCTTGCACGCAGCCAACCCGGGTTCCATCCCTGGCAGCCCAGATGGTCCCCAGAGCATGGCCAGGAGTCAGCCCTGAGCATCGCCAGGGGGTCCCCGAACCAGAAGGTGCCACTGCTCACTTTCACAAAATTCCAAACAACACGGAGGGAGCTGCAGTCTCCGGCGGGGCGTCACCGTTCTTGCGCACAGCACGTGGGTCCCCAGTGCCCAGCTCAGGCCCGGCTCCTATGGAGGCAGCTTGGCCGTGACGTGCACACAGGAGCCGCAGCACCGCCAGCTCCTGGCACAAACACGGGAAATGAAACGGATCAGAGCAGCCCCGGCCAGGTGGATGGACTTGGGCACCGCAGGGCCCCAGACCCACGGGGAGGGCGGGGAATTCCCACGCACAGGCTGGCCCCCAGTGGGGGAAACTTCCGAGGTCACCACGCACCACGGGCCAATGCTTTGTGCTCAAAATGGTCCTTCTTCAGTCTCAGATCCGCAGCCACCCGCCAACCAAGCAAGTGCGTCCAGCGGGAAACTGACTCTCTCGAGATGGCGTCAGCCAAGAGCTCTGTGCAGGGCAGGCGAGGGAAGACCCCACAGCAGCGACCACTCAGAAACTGCAAGTACCGGGGCCCAGGGTGGGCGCGGAGGGCCCTGTGCCGAGGCACGCAGGCCAGGGGGATGGGGGGGGGGTGGATGTGGCGGCCAACCAGAGGCTAAAGTCCCAATCGATGTTTTAATAAGCGAGAGATCAAGTGGGAGAGCAGAGAACTTTAAATAAAGGCTCGAAGGACATTTCAGAGTCAGAAAGGGACACTGCAGAACCGAGAGACAAAATTTGACATTCAGAATCCTCCTGAGATAAGATTAATAGATGAGCGGATGGAACTGCGAAAGGGACGGGGGTGACGTGTAGGAGGCCCCGGTGAGGAGCAGAAGAGGGGACAGCAGAACACCAGGCGGGTCGGGGCTGGTCAGGGGCTGGTCAGGGGCTGCCTGGGAAGCAGCAGGGGCAGCACTGAAGGCCAAGTATGCTGGACTGGGCACCCCGCAGGGCTCCATCCCTGTCACTCAGCCCAGAGGGCCGGACGCTGGGAGAGGAGGATACAGAATGTTGGGAATTTTCCAAAATTCGGACAAAAGGCACCGTTCGG